GCGTATAAGGAAGCAAAAGTGACACAGGATACATCAACAGTTAACACTGATAATGTTAGTGTTTGAGGAGAAACTAGATGGAATAGAGAGGCTTCTGTTGTACATATTTCTGTGTTTGGTTTGTTAAAACTACCTGTTTTAATAATAGTAATAACAAGTTAATGATCAGCTATATTTGATAATGCCATAGCAATGGGATTAGCAAGGTGGTAGTGTGCTTGCCTTGAATGAATACATTTCAAGTCTGATCTCCAGCACTACAAAACACAATAAAAAATGAAAATGATAACTAGCTAACTTCTTCCTTTGCCCTCCATCCCCAACCTTTTCCTGCTGGTTGGTAAGACAGAATCCAGGCCTCATACATACTAAAGCTATACTTCCAGCCAGAGAGTTAACAAGGAGAGGTTACCAAACATTATTCTAGGAGAGTTTAATCTTACCTAATTCCTAAAATACCTATACAATGCTAATGTTCATATTTTTGTCTTTAATATTCAGCATGAAGAATGGAGGCCAAGAGAGGTCAGTATCACCTGCCCAAGACTGTATATTTACTGGTAACAGACTAGAAAGTAAATCCAAATAGTCTGCTTCCAGTGACATATTCTAGTAAAAATCCAATAAAAAAAAACCCATTTCCAGTCAAAAATACACCAAACAAAAGCAATTGGTGTTTTGGAAAGTTACCATTTTAAACTCAGATTTGTTGTTGTTTAGAGTCCAGGTCTCTCTTTGCTGCACAGACAAGAGATTACCATGAGCACTGTGAAGCCAGGTTTATGATGTAGTTTTTTGATTACCAACCTTATATAGTCTTAAGAAAATGATTTTGTTTATATTTTAACTTTTACAATGACTAAACATCTTTTATTTGCTGGCTACATTATAGTCCTCTGAATGCATAAATCGATATTACACCCCAGGACTCTCCAAGAACTATTCATTTCATCCTAATTTGAATTAACAACAAATAAAGCTGGACATTAGAAACTTGACATGTTAAAAAGTGTGAAATGTAATGGGTTTTGTTTGCTTTTTCTTTAAAAAAAATTTTTTTTTTGGCATGGTACTGCTACAGTCTAGAATGTATGTCCTGGAACTCATTGGCAAACCTCCTGCCTCTGCCTAAATATCATGAACTGAAGTTGTACATTAGTGTTCTATGAAGGAACTGAGCATACGGGAGGAAGAAAGGCCAAGCTATTAATTCTAGCTGCTCATACACAGACTGTCTAGGTGCTTACCTGTATTTGCTACTTGGTCATTTACATTTGACAATGCCACTTACAAACATTATTTACAACTTTTAAAAGACTCACACATTCACAGTCAACTTTTATCCGTTTTCTTGCAAATGTTCTATACTCAAGTCAATTACTTTGAACTTTTTCTGCTTTCTAAAAATGGCTATTACTGGGTAAGAAATTTATGTTTTAAATATAGTTTTGAACACTTTCCAGACCTTTATTATGGTACTATGCATGGTCTCTTATGGACTAATGAGGCCACTTGTAAATATACCCTTCGAGGTGGTGTCTGTTTCTTGGTCAACTACTCTCATTCAGTGTGCTTTGTGGAAAAGTAAGTATGGAACTGTCTTAGGCTTGATGTTTCTCTAAGCCTTTTTGCTTAGAGAGAAAATGAAGCAGTTTAATGGTTATTTCAGCAAGTGTCTCCTTAAAGGAGACTAAGAAAAGAAACTTTTCTCAGTCATGTCATATCTGGACCCAAGTTCCTCATCCTATATTATTCAACCAAGCCACCTGGGGAGTTGCTTCAATCTCATTGTCTGAGTATCCTCAGCATTGCTCGGATTCAAAGTCCTGGCCTTTGGCCTCCAAGAGTGGAGGCTGGTGTTTCAGGAGCTATACATAGCATTCAAGTTGGGGAGGTCACTCAGTGACAGACTGCTTCCCTAGCATGCATGAAGTCCTGGGTTTGATTGTCAGTATCACATAAATTACGTATGGTGCTGCATGCCTGCAATTCCAGCTCCACTGTGCCTAGAGCAGGAGCAAGTAGAGATATGTAGTCAAGAACAGGTAGGTCAGTGGATAGAAAATTACTGACAAGACTACCACTGAGGGGTGATATCAAGGACAGGTGATAGGGAATTTGGTTAGATACCAAGGGTGGGAGGCTGTCACTAAACTGATCCATCAGGTTTCTTGCTAAAACTGGACTAAGCAAGCAAAGCTACAAGGCTAAGTTAGAAACAAGATTCAGAGAATGGCTCAAGTTGGGTCAAAGGAAAGTCTTTGTTAGGGATTATTATTTCTATAGCAGAACTGGCTTTCATCAGTTTTTAAGGAAAACACCCTACTATATTGGTTGACTGGCCTGGAACTCATTATATAGACTAGGCTATTCTCGAACTCACAAGATTCACTTGCTTCTGCCTCCCAAGTGCTGGAATTGAAGGAATGAGCCACCATGCTCAGCTAACATAAAATTCTTAAAATAACTGTTATAAAACCAAGCAAAATGGTTTAAAGAATTATTAAGTATTAAGAAATATTAAGTAAGCCACAGTATAATAGTACATAGCTTAAATTAGGATGGTACTATGGGAGTGGCTGTCCTCTTGGCTCTATCTCATCTAGCTAAGCCTCCTGTTACATGGATAACAATATGATAAGAGTTCCTAAGAAGCAGTTCATTTGTCACCAGGCCTTAAGACACAGCCAGTGTTTTAATCAGCTCAGGCTGCTATAACACGACCCATAGCTTATCAACAACAGCTTATTTTAACCGTTTTAGAAGGAGCCTGATATAAAGGTATGGATAGTCAGGTTTTGGTGAGGGTCTTGTGGCCACTATAGTTCACATGGGGGACGGCAGAATAAAGCACAGAACTTCTAAGATCATGACGTTTTACTCATGAGAGTGACACACTCATGACCTCACCTAACCATAATGCCCCAAAGAATTCTGACTCCAAACACCATCATACCAAGGATATCCCAGTATTTGAGTTTAAGTGTGGTGGACACAAACATTCAGCTAGGAACTTGCAGCTCTTGGTTCTCAGAAAAGTTAGGGTTGTCACTGTTTCCTGGATACCGGTATATCTAGTTATCAACAGGGAGCAGGACTTTTGGACATTTTGTAAATCTATACTATGCTATTACTTCTCTGAGGCAAGTTGTCTAAAGAGAACCACAAGGACCGCTCCAATTCACGCCTGGTCTACATTCACTATGGCGAACTGGATGGGGGCGGTGCTTTAAGAGAGACTGTGTATCTATAAATATAACAAGCACTTCTGAGCTTTCTAAGATCTAGTGAATTGGGATGTGTAAGGAAGGAGATTACTATACCATCTTCAACTCATAAAATGGAGTAGGCAACATTGTAATTCTTTACTCCAGTTGCTGTTTTACTGCTACAGCTTTGTCATCACCCCAAATACTTGAGCAAGGAAACACTAGTCAAGTACAGCACCAGACTCCTTACTCACCCTTACAATATGTCAGACCTCAGGCACCAGGCAAAAATACCCAAAGCTGAGTGTGGGGTCCACGTCAATAAATGTGGAATGCTTTAAGCCTAGTGTGTAATGGTGTCCCGTCTCAAGGTTCATATTAGGGACTTATTTCCAGCTTTGGTACACTTCATCAGTCGCTGGTATCTTGACTTCATGTCTTTGGAGAGAAGCTAGAGGCCAGTTCAGGAGCATTTGACAAAATGCTTTGCGCAGCTAGCTGTGAATTCCACTTGCCTAGAAGCTTACGATAAGACCATGACCAGAGCTGACCCACATGCAGTCAGGCTTTCCCTTGCCCAGATAACCTTGTGAGACCTCTAGGAGCGAGAAGCGCGCCAAGAACGCAGACTCTAAGGGCGCAATCGTGGCTACCCTAGATGACAGTCACTGTTCTGTACCAGCAGGCAGCCAGAGATACAAGAAATAAAATGGAAGCTCCTGCTCGGTGGGAACACAGGCCTCGAGCTCGGACCAGAGGCCCGGGGGAGCTAGGTGAGCAAAGAGAGCAGGGCAAAGGGGATGTTCCCTAAGTCAGCTTCATTCAAACCCCGAGGACAGCAGACCCCGCCTCCCAACACCTCCGCCCGCTCAATCGCCGCGCGCTCCGGGTGTGAGCTCGCCCCGCGGGGAGCGGCTTTCAGCTGAGGGGGCGGTGGCAGAGGCGGTTCGGGCAGCCCTGCTCGGGCCGATAGGCCCAGGCAAACAACACCCATTTCTCCCTCCCCCGCTGGGTTCAACTCCCACTCGGCCCCGGCCACGCCCTGCTGCCACCGCCCCCTCGGGCAGCTCTAGGCTCCGCAGCCAGGCCCCGCTCGGGGGCGGGAGGAAGGCGGTGCCTCAATCGGATAGTCGTCAGAAACTACAAGTCCCGAAAACCTTTGCGGCAGAGGCCCGCCCGCCTCCTCCCACGACTCACTGCGCGTCAGCGGCCTCATCCAATGAGAGCCTAGCTAGGGAAAAAGGGCGCCCGGGTCCGGATGCGCCTTAGGAAAGCCATGCTCACGCCGAGGGGGCAGCTGGCAGTCCACTCAGCGATCGGGATCGCAGGGAGCTCACGCTTCTCTGCGCTCGCCCCGCTCCTCTCCCTTAAGCCTAGTTCCATGTCTTTCTTCCGCGGCCCCTCGCAAGATGCTGCGGCGCGTTTTTGAGTGGAGGGCGCCGGGAACTGAGTAGGGGGCGGGATATCCTGAGACAACAAGTTTGGCTGTATGGAGGGCCTGCTGGCAGCAAACCGCAGCTAGCTCACCGAGAGGGCACGCGCCGCGGGCCGAGAAGGCAGAAGCCGAACAGCAGCGAGCACCAGCCGGGCAAAGGGGAGGAGAAAGGGCGGCCCCAGCGCCCCGGCCCGGCAGGTCGGCGGCCAATCCGCTGGGGGAAGGGGTGGAGAGTCGGCGGCGCCAGCGGAGGCAGGCCGAGGGGGGTGGGGAGTCGCGGCGCTCGCACCGCCCTGGCTCCGCCCCCGGGCCCGCGCCGCCGCCCTCGCCGCGCGCCGCCGCTGTCAATCAAGGGCGAGTCAGCCGGGCTCGGGCGGAGAGAGGAGCTGCTACGCCACAGCCCAGCGGCGGCCATTCGCGGAAAAAGAGGCAGAGCCTGTGCCAGCTACAGCCTCCTCCGAGCCACCGCGGGCGGGCGGGACCGGCCTCTCCTCCCGCCTCGCCCCCACCCCCACCCACCTCTATCCCAGTGTCTCTGAGAGGGTTTGTCCTGTTAATGCGGGATGAGCGGTACGTATTCTCCACCCCCCTCGGTCTCCTTCACCGCCTCCCTTCGTCCCTCCCTCCCCAGACCCTGCTCGCTTCCCCCTCCCCCGGGGCCGCGGAGATGCTGGAAGGGGAGGAGGAGAGGGCGGGAGGGAACCAGGGGGAGGGAAGGAGGGCTGTGTTTTGTCTTAATGTCTGAGCTAGAACAACCTCCTTCTGGGTGTTGCTCTGGAGCCTATGGGTCGGGTTTCAAACCACGTTTCGTGAGAGCCCCCTCCTCCCTTCCCTCCTTCTCCCCCACCCCCTGCCGGTGTGCACGGATCGCGGGTTTACGGAGATTAATGTTCAGGAGGAGGGAGGGGGATGAAGGGAGGAGAACGAATAATAATAATCCTAATAACCTGTTGTCGTGTGTGTTGGTGGTGGTGGTGGGGTTGTTGCAGATCAGAAGAAGGAGGAGGAGGAGGAGGCGGCAGCGGCGATGGCTACAGAAGGAGGGAAAACCTCTGAGCCAGAGAATAACAATAAAAAACCCAAAACCTCAGGCTCCCAGGTAAAAGCAAACATTAAAAGAAAATTCAACACAAAGCTTTAGGGAAGAGAGGGAGTCATGCCCTTTAAATACCCAGAAGTAAAGAACAGAATAAAAATGTTTATCCATTCAAAGCATCTTTCAGAGTGAGGAACTTAAATCGTAAATTCATGAAGATTTCTCATAGTTGAGGCTACAACAGTGTTTCTATTACATCAGGAATTCAGACTGTTAGAAAACGGTGTCTATTTTCCCAAGGGCATTTGGAGTTTAGAAGAATAACACTTTAAGAAAGTTTACCAGAAAATTCCTTTTTATTTAAACTTTACATAACAGGACTTGCCTTTTTATTCATTAGCTTCTACCACCTGCTTTTGTTCATATTTCCTTTTTAATTCTGCTGTCTATTGAGTGTGTTCTGATACTTAGAGCTCTCAAAATAAATAACCCCCTCCCGACTGCTGTCTTCCACTAAATCCGCCCACTTTTTTCCCCTCCCTCTCCTTTCCCCTCCCATTTTGGGTAGGACTCTCAGCCCTCTCCTCTGGCTTTACTGGCAGCTACTTGCAGCAAAATAGGGACTCCTGGTGAAAATCAAGCAACTGGACAACAGCAGATTATTATAGATCCAAGCCAAGGATTGGTGCAACTTCAGAATCAACCACAGCAGCTAGAACTGGTGACAACGCAGCTTGCTGGAAACGCTTGGCAACTTGTTGCCTCCACTCCTCCTGCTTCAAAAGAAAATACCGTTTCTCAGCCAGCTTCTAGTTCATCTAGTTCTTCCAGCAGTAATAACGGGAGTTCCTCTCCCACAAAAACTAAATCAGGTAATCCTTCCACCCCTAATCAGTTTCAAGTCATACAAGTACAGAATCCAAGTGGTAGTGTACAGTACCAAGTGATCCCCCAACTTCAGACGGTGGAAGGTCAGCAAATTCAAATCAATCCAACTAGTAGTTCATCTCTACAGGATTTGCAGGGTCAAATTCAGCTCATTTCTGCAGGTAATAATCAAGCTATCCTCACAGCTGCTAACAGGACAGCTTCTGGGAATATTCTTGCTCAAAACCTGGCAAATCAGACAGTTCCAGTACAAATTAGACCTGGTGTTTCAATACCATTGCAATTGCAGACCCTTCCTGGTACTCAGGCTCAAGTTGTAACAACCCTACCAATTAACATTGGAGGAGTGACTTTAGCTTTGCCAGTAATAAATAACGTGACTGCTGGAGGAGGGACTGGACAAGTCGGCCAGCCTACTACTACTACTGATAGTGGGACTTCCAATGGGAATCAGTTAGTTTCTACGCCCACCACCAGCACTGCTACCGCCAGTACTATGCCTGAATCTCCCTCTTCCTCTACTACCTGCACAACCACTGCATCAACATCTCTGACAAGCAGTGACACATTAGTGAGCTCAGCAGACACAGGCCAGTATGCAAGCACATCAGCCAGTAGTTCTGAACGCACCATTGAAGAACCACAGACACCTGCTGCTACTGAGCCTGAAGCCCAGAGCTCCAGTCAACTTCAGTCCAATGGGATACAGAGTGCACAGGATCAGTCAAATTCTCTTCAGCAAGTACAGATTGTAGGCCAGCCTATCCTGCAGCAAATCCAGATCCAGCAGCCTCAGCAGCAGATTATTCAAGCTATACCGCCACAGTCATTTCAGCTCCAGTCAGGGCAGACGATTCAGACCATCCAGCAGCAGCCTTTGCAGAATGTTCAACTTCAAGCAGTAAACCCGACTCAGGTGCTTATCAGGGCTCCAACTTTAACACCTTCAGGGCAAATCAGCTGGCAAACTGTCCAGGTCCAAAATATTCAAAGTCTTTCAAATTTGCAAGTTCAGAACGCTGGGTTATCCCAGCAGTTAACCATCACCCCAGTGTCTTCAAGCGGTGGCACAACTCTTGCTCAGATTGCTCCTGTGGCTGTTGCTGGCGCCCCAATAACTTTGAATACTGCCCAGCTTGCATCAGTGCCTAACCTTCAGACAGTGAGCGTTGCCAACCTGGGTGCTGCGGGTGTTCAAGTTCAGGGAGTTCCAGTAACAATCACGAGTGTTGCAGGTAAGCTACATCTTTTTAACCCATTATTAAAAGGGATCAGTAACAGAGTTATTGCTCCGGGCTATCTTTTAGGTTTGACACACTTCTGATGTACATAAACTGGAGAGGGATAGAAAACTGCACTATTACACCAGCAACCATATGTAGTTATCACTGTGACCTCTTTTGTAGCTTTTAACACTCAGTTTTGTGCGTTGTGTTTGGTAAATAATTAAATTATTTAATAAAGCATCATTTTCTGATTAGAGCCATAATTATAGAAATCATATTTGAGTACACTTGAACTCTTTGGGAAGATGAGCTCATCTCTTCTTGATGGAAAGTTGATTTAACTTGCATTGGTATATGGTTGTGAGTTTGTAGTATGTTAATCCTGTGTAATAAGGCTTTTTAATTGGGCCTTCTTACATTTCAACATTTTGTCTTTAAGATAATTTTGCTTTAATGTATAGTAGCTTTAAACTAGATACTGTTGTAGTTAAGATACAAATTTAAGTTGCAAATTGTTTCATTAAGTTTTTATGTCTGTTTTTTGCTACATTCAGGATTGTGACTTTAATGGTCTTTTGGTATATAAAATTTAAGGAAAAGTCTTATTGTCCTTGTATTATCTGAACGCGTCTAGTGTGAAGTTGATGAAAAGCAATTAAAAATGTAGGTAGTAAAATGTCATTAACTTGAACTAATTGTGGCCATGTTGTTTTAAACCAGCTATAAAAGCAGTTGCTATTTCTTATCAATATAATTAGATAACTTCTAAAGTACTTAAAAAAAAACCTAGTTCCATTAAATAGTATAATATTTTTGGGGAGCAGTCTTATTTTACCAATACTTAGACTTCATTGATTCTGACTTAGTGAAAACTGGCTGTGATTTTTATAACCTTTGATCTTTTCAAGTTTTATTAACTAAAAATTTCTATTTTGGTAATTTAAGATGACTATGCTTGTCCTTTTTGAGTGAAATCCTATCTTGAAATAAGATGCAGAAAAATTAAGATAAGGTTCTTCACATTTAATAATTCAAGCCGATGTGTGCTTGTAGAATTACGTTATCCGTAGAGAGCCCATCCATTCAGAAGAACCCAAATACTTCTAGATAAGCACCACCCAATAGAACGTTGTGTGATGTTTGAGATATGGTATCTCTGTCCCATCTGGTGTTATCTACTAGTTATGGAATGGTCAAGCACATCACGCACGGTGAGAATGGCCTGAGGAATTGAATTTTAAGTTTTATTTAAGGAGACACATTTAGCTGGTGGCTCTTACGTTGACAGCGTATGTCACCAGTATACTGGATGTGATTCTTCCACTAACACTTTTAGTATCCAAGTATGTAAGTGATGGCTCTGTTTCCAGTCCTTACTCTGCGTAGTTCCTGCTCATACTAAACATTAATGCTACGTGAAGATTTCCGAACAGTGTCTGGTTTTGGTGGCTTGAATAATAGTTTGCATTGTCAAAGCAGAAATTATTTCCATTTCATCTTGCTTCTAAACGTTACTGAATTGTGCTTCATAGCATAGAGTAATTTATAATCTAGGTTAGAAATGGTCAGTTTTTCTGCTCTCTAATTAATATCTTGCAATCCAGAGGTTTCCTCTTACTAACTGAAGATAATTCAATTTTCTGACCCCTTCTCCCCCCCACCCCAAAATCCTGGAATGTTGGCTTATAAATAATGTAAGATGCAGGTTCTAGGAGTAAAATTTGGGGGCAAAGGTAGAATAGTAAAATAATTTGCCTTTTAGATTTTCCAGATGATTCTTAAACTCCATGAAGTTTGGGAATCAAGGGTCTAATCAACAGTGAATCAGAAGGCAGAATGTGGAAGCCAGTGGGTGCTAAGCCAATACATATGTGCCCCAGAACATGTTTTACTGGCACATATGCCGTTTTAGTCCCCTCTAGTCCAGATACTCCCACTAGATATGTTATTCTTCTATTTTCATGGGCACATTTTTTACTTAAGCGCTCACAGAGATCTGCTTAAATGTATAAGGAAAATTTTACATATCAAGAGTTTCCTCCCCACTGAAATCCAACCATTTAAAATTGTGTTGATACTTAAAAGAGATGACTGTAATGTAAAGAGCAGAAATAGACCCTGATTTAAGTTCAGCAAATTTAAGTTTAGCTATTAGCAGTTTTATACCATTATCTAACAAATAGGTACTTGCCAGTATTCTTTGAAGATTTATAACATGGGAGCAATGCCCTATAGTGATTATAGTGAGTCTAGTGAAATTGCCTTGTTTTCATTAACTTTTTTTGTTTTTACATTTAAAATACACCAAAAGTGGAACTCTAAGCACTTTCTTAAAATGAGGGAGATACTATGCCTACATTCCCTTTATAAATGAGCCCTAGTTTAGAGTTAATACTTTGGGTCCCCAATTTCTGCTAGCTCATATTTTCCTTCCAGCATGGTGGTGTCAAAGTTATGGGAAAATATTCACTGTTACTATTCACAGGTTTTAAGAATGTTATTTTACTTTTAATTGATACATAATTCATGTACATAATTGTGAGATACAATGTAATATTTCAGTACACTACACAGTTTGTAATGATAAAATCAAATTGCCTATGTCATCACCTTATACATTTGTCATTTGTTTGTTTGGGGAACATTCAAAATTCTGTTTGCTACTCAATTACTGTCAACCACAGCTAACCTACTCTGTTGTAGTTGAGTATTAGACATTACTCCTGGTTAAGTAACCATACTCACTCTCCTTCCCAACTGTTCCCTCATTCTGGTAACCAGTCCCTACTTTCATTTTTCCTTTTCAGACAGGGTTTCACTCAGTCCAGGTTGGCCTTCACATTCACTAGGTAGCTGAGGTAGGGCTTGAACTCTTTCCTAATCCTAATTGTACCTCCCCAGTGTTGCACCACCCTTCCTGATTTATAGGGTACTGGGGATCATACTCAGGGTTTCATATATGCTGAACTGCATGCCTGGGCCCCTCTTTTTTGTTTTCTTATTTTTTTTAAACAATGTTTTAGCTTCTACATATTAGTGACAATATGCTCATGAAAAATATCAGAACTTGGAAAAATTGTTAATTACCTTTGACAGAATAATGTCTAGTTCATGAACAAGGCTTAAAATTTTTTTATGGTCCAGGCTCATTTTACCTTTTCAGGAAGTGGAGGAGGTCTGCATGATACAGACAGCAGAGGAAGAATCATACAAGGCAGTCAGATGAACTCAGATTTTGAAGCTGGGGGCTTCATACTTTTATGAAATGACATCCTTTTTTTCCCCTCTTGGTAATATATTCAGTAAAGTATCTTTTTTGCTCTGATCTCATCTCAAATTCCTGATTTCTAGGCTCAGCATCTATCATCTGATTAGTTAGGAGTGTAGTCATAATTAGATACTTGTACGCTCTGCGTACTTAATTTTCTTGTTGGGAAGAAGAATTTGATGGATAACAACAGTGTTTATTGACCTTTATTTCAGCCAGATGTGGTGGTCCATACCTTTAATCTCAAGTGGGGGTGGCAGAGGTAGGTGGGACTCTTGATTTAACTAAGTAAGAATAGAAGTTCTGCCAGTATCCTTCAGTTCCCTCTGGTCTCCAGGAGTTACATCTCTATAAATGAGAGTTAGTAGGGACTCTTGGTTTCTATCTCAATTATTAACCCAGAGTGGTCCACACTGTCATGACATAGTCCTTCTGCTTGATTAAGTGGCTGTCAGTTTCAGTCAAAATTAAATTTTTATGCTAATTTTCCCATAAAGGGGAGGTTGACACCTGATAAGATGTTGCTGGCTATTCAAGAACTTGTCTCTTATATAATTCCTTTACTTTTTATAGGGAATTAAAGTCTAAAACTCGGGGATATAGTTTGAAGCCAGGAATGGAAGTGCCAGTTCTTAATGACTTTAAAAATGGGAACCAGAGAACATAAAGCTTACTTACATTTAATTTAAAAGTCCAAATCAACTTTTTAACATCTGCCCTTTCTTCTGAATTTCTCAAAGTAGAAAATTGGCTTGACATTTAACTCATATAGAGCTTTTCTTTGCTATATATGTTGTATTGGCTTGGATTTCCCTTTTTAGGCACCTGAAAACCATACTTGTATATACAATCCTCACATGTGTGCTTGGTTATTTCCTTTTCAGATGAGTCAGTTATTTCTGTTACCTTTTCAATAAAATCTTCTAATAGTGGGTCAGTAGATTGGACTTCATTATAAGGGACTTAAGTTTAGTTTCTTAACTATCAGTTTGACTTTAGCCTTCAGAAACTTATTTTTTTCATAGAAGGTAAAAAGTACCATATAAAGCCACATTAAGTTTTAAAGGACATCTATGCTGGCTTGCTTTATGTTCACCTGACATAGGCTAGTCATCTGAGAGGAGGGAACCTCAATTGAGAAGAATGCCTCCATAAGATTGGGCTGTACTCAGGCCTGTAGGGCATTTTCTTGGTGATTGATGTAGGAGAGCTCAGCTCATTGTAGGTGGGGCCATCCCTGGTTTGGTGGTCCTGGTTCCATAAGAAAGCAGGCTGAGCAAGCCTTGGGGAGCAAAACAGTAAGCTGCATTCCTCTGTGGTCTCTGCATCAGTTCCTACCTTCAAGTGTGAGTTCCTGCCTTGGCTTTCCTCAGTGGGTTGTGACTCAAAATATAAGCCAAATAAACTCTTGCCTCCCCAAGTTGTTTTTGGTCTGGTATTTCATCACAGCAATACTAACCCTAACTAAGACAACATCTTTTTGGTGGGATTGAAGGGCAAAGGAAGAACATTTACCTCCTTTTCAAATTGTTTGTTTGTTTGTTTTGTCTTTTTAAATGACAGGGTCTCTCTGGCTATGTATGAGGCTGGCTTCATATTCACTGGTCTTGCACTTGTGATCCAATGTTCAGGAGTGCTAAGGTTCAAGTGTTCTGACTGGTAATCAGTTTCTAATTTTGTAGAGTATGTAAGTAATACTTAAGGAATAATACTTAAGGAATAATATTGGGATACGCATTAA